CTGGTCATGGGGCTTGAACTCTGGGCCTGGGCGCTGTCCCTCAGCTCTTCAGCTCAAGGCTAGCACTCTACCACTTTAGCCACAGCACCACTTCTGGTTTACTGGTGGTTTATTGGAGATAAGAGTCTCACGAACTTTCCTGTCCGGACTGGCTTTGAACCGTGATCCGCAGATCTCAGCCTCCTGAATAGCTAGGATTACAGGTGTGAGTCACCAGTACCTGGCTGGTTCTTTTTTCTTTAGTGCTAGTCCTTGTGCTTGAAGTCCAGGCCTGGGCGCTGTTCCTGAGCGGTTTTTCCCCCCTCAAGGTGAGGGTTCTCCTACTTGTGCCTTTTTGGTTGTTGGTTAGAGGTAAGAATCTCATGCACTTTAATGCCAGGGCTGGCTTGGAGATCCTCAGATCTCAGCCACCTGAATAAACTAGGATTACAGGTGTGAGCCAGGGCACCAGCATCTGGTTTGTGTCAGAAGTTCTTAACATGAATTCTTTTGGATATAAGGATGGGAAATGGGAGACTGATTTCTGAGAATTCATAGTTTTATGGCACTTTTATGTATATTGGTGTATTTTTTTTTTTTTTTTGGGTCGGTTGTGGGTCTTGAACTTTGGGCCTGGGCACTGTCCCTGTGCTCTTCAGCTCAAGGTGAGCCACTTCTGGTTTTCTGGTGGTTAATTGGAGATGAGTCTCAAGGACTTTCCTTTCCTGGCTGGCTTTGAACCTCAAATCTCAGATCTCATCCTCCTGAGTACCTAGGGTTACAGGCTTGAGCCACTGGCGCCCAGCTGAATGTTATTTTTTAAAAGGGCCTTCATGAAAAACAATGTAACAAAAACTGAAAAGAATTGGAAATTGTTGCTCAGTCTAGCATGTGCAAGGCTTAATTCCCCAACATTACAAACTCCAGAAATTTTTATGTTACTTATTGTCTGTGGATTGGCAATCAGGAGTAGCTTTGCTGGTGTTCTTCCCTTCAGTCTTTCATAAAATTTCATCCCAGATGTTGGCTAAGGCTGTAATTATTTGAAACTTTGGGAATTAGAAGGTGACAGTTGAAGTTTCTATAGCAGGTGATTTGAGGAGAGAGAAATGGTTACAATACCTTTTATAATCTAGTTTCAGAAGTCCCTTTTGTCAAATTCTGTCAGCTAGCTGCAAGCCATTCAATTTAGCTTGAAATCAAAACAAAGGGTTTTAGGCCAAACCTTGTATCAATGAATTTGTGAACATATTTTAAAAACCATGTAGGAGATGGTCCTTCACAACAAGTGGTTGTCCTCATGATTAGCTAGTTTTTAGGCCACAGGTGAGCTATTACATAGGCTTAAATTTTTTTTAATTGTTGTTGTAAAGGTTATGTTCGGAGGGGTTACTGCAGTTACGTGAGTCAGGTAATTAGTACCTTTCATTTTGGACAATGTCACCCCTTCCCTCCCTCTCTCCCAGTTTTTCCTTTTATCCCTACCCACAAGTTGTATAGTTAATTTTCAATATAGTGTCAATTCAGTATAGTGTCCATTGCTGCATTTGTTTGTCCTTTGTACATAGTTTTTTTTTTTTTTGTGGGAGGGGCAGGTTTGGGGCTTGAACTCATGGCCTACTACCCTGAGCTTCTTTTTGCTCAAGGTTAGTACTCTACCACTTGAGCCACAGTGCCATTTCCAGCTTTTTCCTTTTATTTAGTGCTGAGGTTGAACTAGGGCTTCATGCATGCTAGACAATCACTCTACTAAAGATTCCCAGCTCCTGTACATAGGCTTTTGTATATAGATTCCGGTGTGCTTTTTGGGGAGTAGATGTTAGAAACTTTCACCTTTGTAGCTGATAGCTGCTCTGTGAGATTTGGAGGTAAGTTTTTTTTTTTTTTTTTTTGGTAGTAGTACTAGAGATCCAATATAGGGTGCTTAGGGCTTAGAATAAGCTAGGCAAATGTTTTACTGCTGAGCTATTTCTTAGCCTTGCTTTTTGCTTTCATTTTGCCCCCCCCCCCCCACCTTGGGACCGTGCTTCTTTCTTTTTTCAATAGGGCTGTTTCCTAATGTAAGTTTGATGGCCTTTATGACATTTTTGATGGTTCTGTATATTTAAAGGTATGTTATTTTGTGCAAGTGTCTGTATCTGAATTGTTTTATCTAAGATCAGAGATTAATATCTTTTATTGTTCAGTATATTAAAAGACATGTCATAATTGGTAGAAGTGTAAGTCAATTAAAAAATAACCCAAAGAGCCGGGCGCCGGTGGCTCACGCCTGTAATCCTAGCTACTCAGGAGGCTGAGATCTGAGGATCGCAGTTCAAAGCCAGCCCTGGCAGGAGAGACCATGAGACTCCTATCTCCAATAAACCACCAGAAAACCGGAAGTGGCGCTGTAGCTCAAGTGATAGAGCGTTCGCCTTGAGC